TGGGAAGGTTGGAGGACAGGCCCTTGTCCTCAAGGCTCCCACAGCTGGTTGGGGAGACGGACGAGAGAACAAAGCTCAACTCAGCCAGGGATGCACCTGAGGTCTGAACAAAGCACTACAGGAGTGGAGAGGAGGAGGAGAACCCAGCTTTGCTGGGAGGGTGAGGGAAGCGTCTCAGAGGGAATGGCGTGTCCTGGCTGTGGACATCCGTTTCAGAAGTTGTGGGACTGCAGCCGGGTAGAGAAGAGGCAGACAAGTGTGGAAAGTGAGACTGAAGTTTGACTGGAGGGGGCCTTGAAGGCCAACGGGAGAGTGACTGACTGGCAGATGTGTCTCAGAGGAAGGTCTCTGGCAGCACTGTAAGAGGACAGAGCAGGGGGACAGAGAGCAGGGCCAAGAGAGCAGTGGGAAGACTCTTAACATAGTTTATGAGGGTGACTATGCCAAATAAGTCATTACTGACTTTCACCTGCACCCAGCCTTCTAGACCCTAAATCTCCACGGACCTGCTCAGTCTACAGAAAGATGTGAACAGGTTTGCTCTCCTTAGAATGGAACCCAAGCAGAGGAAGATGCTGTGATCACATTTTCAACTCTTGGACAAATGGTCTGCCATGCTCTGAAGTCACTCCCTGCAGAAGCTGCCTGGCCAGATTCTTGTCGTGGCACAGATCTGGGCCAGCAGGAGACTGCAACAGCATCAGAGCTGGACTGATGTCAGAGCCTGACTCCTGACTGGAGTCAGGATAGCTAAACTGCTGGTCTTACTTAGGGGCAGAGGGGGAAAGATTCCATCCCCCCAAAGACCATGAGTTACACAGGTCTTTCATGTCCCCAAACATATCTAAGTCTCAATTCCTGCCACCCTCCCTTCTCTGACAGCCTGGGAGGGCTGTGTGGCCTTGGAGGTTGTAGGCAAAGACAAAGGCGCTTCACCAGCCATTGTTTCTTTCTATGGGGTCACATTCACCTGGGCTTGAAGGAAGAATGCAAGCACACTTACCCTTTCCAAAGCCTGAAGCCAGCCCCCCAAGAGTGACTCGATGGCAGAAAAGAGATCCACCACTGTGACTTACTCACTTGATTCTTATGCATCACGATGACAAACATCAGCTCCTTTCAGGACGAGCCATGCACAGGTTGCCATGTTCCTTTAAAAACAAGAGCCCAAATGAATGTCAAGTACAATATCTTACATTACAGCCTCCTACTGCCTCCCCATCAGGAGGCCCCACATGCTATGCACTTGGCCCTGTAGTAACACTTTATCTGACAAGAGGAAATGGACAGAGAATGACTCTGCTACAGGTTCTGCATGTGAAGAAAGGAATTATGAGACGGTTAGACATATTCTACTGTCTGCCACTGTCTGGGTACCCTAAGGCTCATCACACCTCTACGCAAAGGCTTGCAGGGAAAGTATAAGATGGACCTGGGAAAGAATGCTTCACTAGTCGCTTCAGTAAAAACAGAAAATGCCAGAATTCCTACACTTAGGACATGATGAAAGTCAATCAAGTTGGTGTAAAACTTGGTAACAAGTCACCAATGTAAAATTTGTCATATTTCCTAAGGTGGAAAGGTCCAAAAGGCTGAATAAACTCAGAAGTCACAAAAGTTGACCATCTGATCGTGGGTGAGTTTCCTAAACAAATTACGATTTTGGCTTCCAATGACCACACCAGTGATTTGGTTACATCCTACCTCGTCTGCAGAAAATGCTTCTACACCTGTTTGGAAAATAAAGCCTAGAGTTACAAAACATTTCTAAAGATTTACTACCACAATTCCAAGTTTCTAAGAAGTAGCCTCAAAAGGACAAAAATTAACACGGATGTAAAACTTGAGAGCTACGAGAAGCGATGCCCCTCTTCTGTGGACGTAAGTGCACTCTGCTCAGTGAGGTAGGAGGCCTACGTGCCCAAAGATAGACACACAAATTCTGTCTACTACACAAAGGGCTGCGTTTAGAGCCTGGGACTCACTGTTTGGAATTCGCAGACTATTGATGAGAGAAAAGCCACAATTTCCTGAGCACTGGCCATGCATGAAACAAGCGCCATTAGAGACCAGACATGCTTTGTCTCACTGGCTCCTCACAGACAGGAACAGAGGCTCGGAGAGCAGAGGCTCTTGTGATGACAGGACTCAGCCCAGGCCCGGCTGACCCAGCACTCACGGCCTTTCCCATCACACTGAGGCGAGAGGCGTCCCAGCACAGCAGCGACGGGCCCGCACGCCCCACAAGCAGCCACCCGAGCAGAAGCTGCAATCGCAATCATCCCCGTCATTATCACCATCATTTCAGGCCACACCTCTGCAGCCCGTGGCAGCTGACAAACAGGCTGGCCTGCCTCCGCCACATTCTCATCAGTCCTTGCTGCTGCCTCGAGCCAGAAGTCAGAGAGGCACGAGGCCTCCACTCCTCTGCCCCCTGCTTCTCCAGGGAAGCTTCTGGGTACAGTGGGTGAGGGAGCTGGACATCCTGGTGCAGAATTCCACTGTCAATCTAACCAGGTCTGAGAACCAGGGACCTCCCCCTGCTCCCTAGATCTCAGGGACAGAAGGCCCTACCCACCCTGGGACGTTGCTGAGACCAACAGCAGGGAAACAGAGGCTCTGCCTGGGCTGTCTGCACGATTGGATGGACGTGGGCATTTCAGGACCCATCTCTAAGGGCTGAGCACCAGTCCCACAGTGTGGCTGGGCACACACTGTGATCCAGCCATTCCGAAGGCCAACTCCTACCCTCTGCCTGACCAACACCCAAAGGCAATGCAAGCTCCCCTTAACTCCACTAAACCAGAAGGCCCCAGCACCTTCCCTCCCCTCCAGGGGCCCCAGCTTTGTCATTTGCAAAATGAGGAGCATGACCTCACCAAGGACCCCTTCCAGCTGCCCCATCCACATGCTTTGACTTTTAAAGACCCCCTACAAAGCTAGTCAGTTATTAAAAGGAGGGAGGGGTTAACTCACACACAGGCATTACGACAGGCGGTTAGCACGTGCTATCTCAGATGATCCTCCCAGCAACCCAGTGAGGCAGGCAGGACAGCCACATCACAGAGGGCAGAACTGAGGTATGGCCCAGCCCCAGTCCTCACCTGGAGACTGTCACCACTGACCATGCCACCTGGGAGTCACGGTGGAGCCGGCTGGAGCCCACGCCCATGCTAGCTCCCTCAGTAATCCATTAGAATGAGGAAACAACATCTCCTCTCAGACTAGCCACCATCCCATCCCAAGAAAAGAAGCACAAGTTCTCCAGGCCCCTATGGGCCAGACTTGGGTGATGCAGGAAAGATTTCCTGCGAGCCTGAGTCACCTCAGTGATGCTGAGGGACATGAGAGGAGCTCAGGGGACCCTCCTCTCTGCTGTTTTCCAAGCTTAGCTCCATAGAGTCAGAGTCTTCACTGAGGGACCCCAAGCACTTGGAACAGGGGCTGGCACCCACTAGGCCCCCACCATCAATATTTGTTGAACAGAGGAACAAAGAAATTCAGAGCTTGGGTGCACTGAGGGCTTGTTCAAGAACCCTTCGGAGTGAATTAGTGTGAGACACACCAAAACCAGCACAGAATCACAACGCCAGCCCCCCAGCAGTGGGTGCCAGGCATAGTTCTCCACACCCCAGGCCAGGACGGAGGACGAAGGCTTAGATGCTGAGCCAGGTCTGCTCTTTATCCCAATTGCCAGGGGAGCAACTGACAGAGCAGGAGGTATGTCTGAATACAAAGGTTACCCAGCAAAGTGGTCAAGAGCTCAGGCCATGGGATTCCTAGCCTGGCTCTGTCACTTTAAATTAGTCAGGTGGCCCCAGGCAAGTCACATACTCTCTGTGAGCCTCAGTTTCTTATCTAAAAATGGGAATGATGCTAGTGCCTACTCCACAGAGCTGTTCTGAAGATGAAATGAGGTAATGCTGTAAAGGACACAGCCCAGTGTTTAGCTCTAAGCGCTTGGTGATGGCATCTGCTGAACTGTCTGCATCAGAGTCGGTGGTTAAGAGCACACCCGGAGTCCTCTGCTTGGGTTCAGTCCCAGCTCTCCTACCAGCAAGCTCTGTGACCGAGGGCAGATTGCTTCAACTCTCTGTGCCTCAGCTTCCTGGTATATAAAATAGGATTGATTGTGAAGATTAAATGAGTTCTGTAGGTAAAGAGCTTAGAATAATTTCTGGCACAAAGTAAGCACGTGATAAAAGTGAGTTCATCTTATACATAATTATTAATACCACTAGCATCCTTTTCCCTTTGTTCCAATAACAGATGCCACCCTATCCCTCACTCACCAGCCAAAAAGGTGGGCATGGGATTCAAGATAGGTACATCAAAGTATCTTTCCTTCTTGGCCACATTCTTAGGTACAAAGGGTGTGCCCATGCTCCAAGCTGGGCCAAGTTCCAATCTAAAAAATCCTGGGGAAGACCTGGTACTCTTGGGTCACTGCAGGGCCATGTGGGTCAGCTGGGAGCTGCCTGCAGCCATGGACTAAGTCCGGGATGCTAGAAGTCACCTGTTCTCTTTCTGGGGCTGGATTCTGCAGCAGCTACTTTGAGTCTCTGCATTTCCCTTAGAACCTTCCAAGGTATCTTATTTTTACTTAAGCTCATTCAAGTTGGGTTCCTGTCACTTGAAACCCAAAGAGCCCCAACCAACAGCAGCACTCAGCAATCAGCTGCTCTATTATTACTAAATCCTGCCCATAAAGAAAAGCCAGCTGCACCCTCTCAGTGAGACCCAGGCGACCAGGGGAAAGCAAACACGGGCAACAATTCATCTCTACAAAGTGAGGTGAGAGAAGCAGCTGCAGCCCCTGGACCAGTGCCCCTCCTGGGAGAGGAGGGTACTGGAACCAAAAAAGTGAATAGCCCATTCCTGAGGGCCTGGGCTGGAAACCCAGCCTCAGACGTGGGTCCCCTTGCCCGGAGCATTAGGAAGAGGAAAAAGAGGAAGCAGGAGACTGAGCTGATTTCCACTGGCTTCACGCGGTGCAGGAAAACATCCAGGTAGCTGCTTGAAACGATTCTTTTTGGAGGAGGAAGGAGGGTGGGTGAGGGAAGGGAAATTAGCTTGCGTGAGCTCGTAAATCACTCTCTCACTGGTACGATCACATCTAACCTTCAGTATGGCCCTAGAAGCTGGATGCTCATCCAACCCATTTTCCAGGTGAGGAGACTGAGGCTCAGAGAGCTCAGTGACTAACTCGTCAAGGTCACACCACTTGTGCCCGCTGCCTGGTCCACCCATCAGGCTACCTCCTCAGCACCCTCTAATCTCTGAGCCTGAGGCCCCATTGTCACACAGGCACGTCTGCTGCCACTCATACCTGTGCGCAGACCTAACCAAGGGAGATGGGATGTGCTGCAACCCCCTCATCTACAATGGGCACTCCACCCCACCCAGAGACAGCCTCCCAGACGAAGGGGCTGCCCTAAGGTACCAACAGGCAGCATCCTGGATGTTTCCTTATCCCATGGAGAAGTTTTTTTGGGGAGGGAAATTGTTTGTTTTTTGTTTTTGTTTATTTCTCAGTCACCTTTCCCAAGAAATTCTGACTCAACAGGTACAACAAAAATGCCTGACACATAGCCTGGGCCGAACAATATAATCTTTACTTGGTCTCATTTTCTTGCCACCTCCTGGGCCAGCACCCGAAGACAGTCTATTCCTGTACCCCCAGGACTTCTAATAGCACCCTCTTAATTCTGTCCAGGAAAAGAAGCTCCACCTTCAGATGTGTTTTAAAGAGTTTTAGAGAAACGGAAGTAAAAACCCAAACCCCAGCCTGGTAGCAAAAACAAAGAACCAAAACACACCGGTTGCCTCCCCCGTCTCCTGCAGCACAAGCTGCGGGGTGAACACAGGAACCAATACACACAGCCATCGTCTTCCTCAGGTCCCTGGAACTCGACTCCAAGATCTGCACAGATGTAAACTACATAACCAGTGGGGTGAGGACGGTACAGACACAAACATCAGCTGGTACCAAAGGAGGCTTCGCTGGAAAAGGAGGTGTCCGCTTCCAACACTTGCAGGAAAAGAACGGGAGACCATGATCTGCAATGATGTGAAAGCCATCCTGACTACAATAACGACAGGAAGAGCATCCTCGGCAGGGCCCCGGCGGCACCCGCGGGCGTGGGGAAGTTCGGTCCGCCATCCCAGAGGAGCCTCACCCACGGACCCACGCCAGACACACACTCCACCAGGCCACACGCCACCCAGAGCCTGCCTGCCAGCTAACAGCTTTTGTTTACTTTCCAGCAGCTAGGCTCAGGCAGTGACCGCCTCAGGCATGAGGATTATCCAGGTAGGTATTTCCCTGACTGTTCTTGTTCTTTTCATAGCTTTTTTTCTCTGCTATTTAAAAATAAATGCATTAATTAAAAGGGACTGGCTGATCTTCCCCCAGAGCATGACTTGGTTTCCCTCCTTCTTGGCTAGGTGCAGTGGGGTACCATGCTGCTCGGCACGACCTGCTGCTAGAATGGTACGCAGCACATGGCACACTGGGTCAGCTAGACATCTGAAGGGATGGAATGCTCCAGGTGTCCCATTTCCTGCCCACCCCCCAACCTGGTTCCCATTAAATCATCCAGGAAAAATTATTCAATAAACCTGCGCTGCGTTTCCTGGCTCAGGCTGTGAAGATACCAGAAAGTATAGGAACTAGGGAGTCTGAGCTTGGGAAGCAAAAGCAGCAGAAGGAAGAGCGGTGGTGCCTCAGGCCAGCAGCCGCACTGGGGCTTGCATGTCAGCCTCACTGCCTGCAGGTTTTTAGACCTTGGGCAAGTCATTTCAGCACCGAGGCTCATAGCAGATGGTGTCTACCTTATAAAGCTAAGGTGTGGGTTAAATAAGATAATGCACATCAAAGAATAAAGGCTGCCACATGTTAGTCATTTACTATGGGCCAGGAACTGCGTGCTAAGTGCTTTGTGTAGATTATTTCATCGGGGCCTTACAACTTCCCTGTAAAGTAGGCACCACATCCTCAAATTCAGGTAAGGAAACCAAGACTCAGAGAAATCAAAGCACCTACCCAAACGCACACAGCTCATAAGAATCAGCTAGAGCACACACCCAGGCCAGTCAGACTCCAAAGCCCTAGGCTCTGCTCTCCTGTCTGACAGGTGCTCAAAACACATTATATAACATGTAAATGCCGAACTGGAGGCTGCTGGCTCTCCACCCAGGAGACATATGGAGACAAGAGGGGGAGTTTTGGCTGAGAGCATTTAGGAAGACTTCCTGAAGTAGTTAGGGCTCAATCTCTTTCTTGGAGGGTGAGGATGGAGGAAGGCCAAGGAGAAAAGGAAGGGACTGCAAACTAGAAAAACCACAGCAAAGAGCTGGAGGCAGGGGTGACCCCGGCAGGCAGGCACAGTGGCAGCGGAGACCAGACAGGCTAGAGAAAGAGAGAAAGGGGGGCTGCTCTGAGCAAGGGATGGGCGCCTGGGCCATTATCTTGGGAGCCATTCAACCTGTGATCCTTCTCACCCACACCCCAGGGATGGTCCTGCGGCTGCTCTTTTGGTCACACAGTCAACATGGAGGGAATCAAGAATTACGACTATAAAGGCCCTACCTCCCCTAAGTAGGCTTGGAACCCTGACGAGCAGGTGGTTTTGCCAACTCCCGCCTGTGCTGCTGTGCCAACCTGCCAGGCCCAAGCTCCAGCCAAGCTCCAGGACACCAGGAATCTGAACGCTGCCAGGTGCACGTAAGTACCACCACCACCACCCTGGCACTCAAGGTTCCAAGGAGGGAGAAGAGGGCACGGGTCAAAAGGAGGCTGTAGGACATAAGCTCCTCATGGCAGAGGGGACTTCATATTCCTGGGACATGGTAGGTGCTTTCTCAACAACCTGAACCAAATGGACGATTCTCTCACTTGAGGAGCAACCCTAGAGCTTGAGAAGCCTAGATTGCAGTCCACTGTGGAGCCCTGGGTATAGTCCCACCTTAGCTGGAAGGACCATTTGTCTGTTTGCCTCTTGGAGAGGAAGTGCCACCTCCACCCCCTGCAACCTCTGCTTTGGCCCCCTGCCGGCAGTCCCCTGCACCCCGAACTCGGTTCTGAGCCCCACCCCTAGTGCCTGATCCTCCTAGGTGAAGTCAGGGATGCCAGATGCCGGCTTCCTCCTCCTCCCAGAACAGGTACCCCCTGAGCACGCCCGTGCTCAGGTACTGCTCCAAATGCTGAAAGCTACAACACCCTCCCGCTGTCTCAGCTCTCCACCAAGCCCAGCCCAGGCCCCGGGCCCGCAAAGAAGGGAAAGTGAGGTGGAGGAGATCTCAGCAACTCTGCTCATTTGACCGTCACATGCTTTTTTGGAAGTAACAGGACCTGGAGGAAGGAGAGGATGAAACAGAACTGTATAAAGGTCTGTTGGTCACATGGCCTCCTTCCACCCTGCTCAGGAGAAGGGCAAAGGGGAAGTGATGAAGGGGCTTTGTGGGCTGGTCACTCTGAGCCTCCAGATGGAAGCTGCCTGGGATGGGCAGGGGCGCCTATGTCGTTACCTTTTACCCACGAGTCTGTAGGCAAATTACTTAACTCTATGGACCCTTGATCTCCTGACCTATTACATGGAGATAATAACCAATGACCACACAGGATGACTGTGAACACTGACATGTGAATGCAGACATGATTAGCAAACTGTAAAGTATCCTTAGAAATAGCAGACATTTTCCCCAGTCCTGGGAGGTGGGGGCTTCAGGTCAGAACACACAACTGTAAGGGAAAAGATAAACTAGGAACCCATTCCATTTGGCAAACTTTTTCCAACACCTTCTAGGACAAGGCACAAGTCTCCAGGGATTCAAACATTGAGACTTATTTCACAAAGTCTTTGTGAGTGCTTGCTGTGGGCCAGGCTGTTCTAAGTATCTACGTGGCCCGTCTCATATAATTCTTGTAAAAACCCTATGAATGGGTCACAGATGACAAAACTGAAGCACAAAGAAATTCACTCCTCTCATGGCCTCACACAGCTGGTAAATGGTGGAACTGGTATTTGAACCCATCAGAGTCTGCTCCTTCGGCATATGGTCAACCAAGACGAGTCTCAGACTCTCTATGTGGCTGAAGGCTCTGATAAGGCCTGCAGAGATGAGTCAGTGAGGGAGGGCCCCAACTCACTCATGGCTTCTCCTGCCCCTGGGCAGCTCTGACTCCTGGGCCAGGGTCCCACTCACACTGCTCCTGGTGTGTCCTGGAAGTTGGCCACACCTCTGCACTCCCCAAGGCTCCATGTGAGTACCAAATACCGAGGAAGGTTGATGTAAGAACCTATATGTCAATGTACATTTACATAACAGATCACTCATGAAGTAATTTGTTCTTATTGTAAAAGATAGTCCAGGGGGGTGGGAAGGGATTGATTGGGAGTTCAAAATTTGTAGATACTGACAGGCATATGCAGAATAGATAAACAAGATTATACTGTACAGCACAAGGAAATATATACAAGATCTTGTGGTTAGCTCACAGTGAAAAAAAAATGTGACAATGAATATCTGTATGTTCATGTATAACTGAAAAATTGTGCTCTACACTGGAATTTGACAACATTGTAAAATGACTGTAACTCAATAAAAAAATGTTTAAAAAAAAGATTGTCCATGTCAGATGGAAAAAAAAATTGCAAATTCCAGTTCTGCCACTTACTCTGCTGTATAACCTCACGCAAATTTTAGCCTCTCTGAGCCTCGGCTTCTTCCTCAATAAAACATAGTTAACAGTGCTTATCTCAGGCAGTTGTTGCAAAGATGAAATGAGATAATATGTCTAGCGCAGCACCTGGAAGACCATAGGCTCAATACATTATGGTTGAATCAGACAACTTTACAAAAGATTTCCATTGGAAAATCATTTTTTTCACAATAATATTTGGTGGTAATAATAGTACTTTTAAATAGTATTCACCTCCCAGTAAGTTAAATCCATTACATGCATTACCTCATTTCACCCTAAAAAGCATCATTTTTTCATTTGTTGTAGCTTTAGAACAACAGAAAAAATATGTCCAACACATTTATTTTACTCACACACATACACATAGGGACAGAGAAACACATGGTCAAACAAGATAATATACGATAATATACAAGCTTACTTTATGTCAGGTACTGTTCTAAGCATTCTACAGTCAATGATCTATTTCATCCTTTCAAAAATGTGCCTAGAAGGTAAGTACCATTTGCCCTCATTTTACAGATATGGAGCTCGAGGCGCAGAGAGGTTAAATAACCTGCCTAACATCACTCAGCCAGGACTCAAACCCAGAGCCCGCACTCCTAAGCACTGGTATTATGCTGAAATAATGAAAGAAAAGTCACAGCAAGAATGTTTAATGGATTCCCAAGCCCCAGTTCTAAGAACTTGGGGCACTGCTTGTCAACCCCCTAACCTAAGCTCTGTCAGCATCCCCCCCACCCTTTTGCCAGTATCCACTCTCACCCTCTCTCCTGTCCCACAGCTCCTGCGCCCTAGCTCTGCCCCACCGTTTCTCGGCAGGGAGTGCCAAACTAATGGACTATTTTAGGCCCCAGTCCTCTCCTCCTGGCATCTCAGCCTCCTATCCAGCCTCTCTGCCTCAGCTCCCTATATCCCATCCTCTACAAAGCCGCGAGGGACATCTTCCCATACATGGATTCCTCTGCTCATGAACACTCTAAGGCTCCCTGCTGCCCAGAGCTGAAGATCTCAGTGGGTTGAAGAAGATCAACGAAGGACTCAAGATCCCCACAGGACCTCTCTTGGCCTCCTTCCCTTTGGCCCCAGACTTCTCACTTGCTGGCTTACAAATCCCAGTGCAGGGCAAGCAAGTGAGGCCTTTCCTGATCATTCTATTTAAACTGACAGTCCTACCCCAACCGCTTCCCTCCCCTGACCGCTTCCCGCCCCCTGCACCCAGCACACCTTGGCTTCTTTCCTGCTCTAGTGTTCTTTACCCACCTCGCATCAGCTGGCCTCATACATTTAACTTGTTTATTGTCTCTCTCCCCTCCGAGAATAGACCTTCCACATGGCAAGGGATTTTACCCTATTTTTTCATTTCCCTGCTGTGACCGCAGCACCTAGAACAGTTGCTGGCACAGAGTAAGAACTCATGAATACCTTCTGAATGAATGAATGAATACCCATTTAGAAGGCCTAAGAAGAAAGTGTCCAAACAGAGCAATAGCATGCTTCTGGCCTCCTCTGTTTCTGAGGACATTTCTGGAGGACAGGCTAGAGATGCCTACGTTAAATGCCTGGAGGCCACATACTTCCTAGGATTTTACAAGAGTTCCCTATCAGACCCTGGGCCCTCATCCACCCATCTCTGTTCTGAACTTTTACACACACACACACACACACACACACACACAGTGTCTCCCTCTGTCATACTGAAGGTGGTCTGCATCTGTCCTAAACTCATCTGCCCAGCCTCATCTTCCCATTTCGCCCAGCCTTCACACCACTAGAGATGCTCTCTTCTTCCTCCCACATATCCATCTGCACTTCACCTACTCTCCAAGATACAGATCAAATGCAGCCGCCTCTGCCTCCACCTCCTCCAGGAAGCTTTCCAGGCCCCCTCCAGCCTCTAGAAAACACTCCCCACACCCACTGCTGTTTCCACCAGTCACAAGGAAATTAGTCATGAACTACTTTGTGACTTGCCTTCTATGACCGAGTTGAACTGTTACCAAAGTCTCCTGTTACTTAATTTTTTTAAACACGTGTGTCTTGTTTTCCCAGGAATACAGCAAATACTTTGGGAGGAGCTGCGCCTTAACCATACTGTCATCTCTGTGGCACAGGGCTTGGGACACACAGTAGGTGTCCACTGTATGCTTCTTAATTAGCTGCCCAACATAAGCAAGTCACCTTCCCAATCAGGTCACTTCCTCAGTTACAGATGCCTGGACTGGCTTCTCCCAATGCCCCGACTTATTTCTTCAGGGCCTGCTCTGACCTTGGGTATCTGCAAACCCAGTCATGGGCCTGTGTTTTCAAAGGGTATTAGACCCACTCTAATGCCTCCCTGTGCTGGGGAGATGAGGATGATTAGAAAAGAAATAATCTGTAAAGTTCCACAGATCTGGAAAAGCAAAGGACATCGTTGTCCCAGGCAAACCCGGACATTCAGAGTGTTTCAATTTCCTCAAATATGGGAGTTTAACAGAGGAAAACAAAAACAAAGACAAACAAAAAAACATGGTGTAAGTTTTAGGTGATTTCCATTTTAACCATGGAAAACCAACACTTGAGGGCCAGGTGCGCCGGCTGAGCACCAGTGCTAAGCAAATTGAGATTAAAACAAAAGGCAGCAAATCTCAAATTACTTCTCTGGCTCAGAGAGGAGAGCCAGGGAGGAGGGAGGGAGCCCTGTGCACCGCAGACCCTCTATGCACGGGGCCCAGGCTTGCTCCAGCAGATGGTCTCCTGGCGTCCCGCTGCGAGGTAAGTGGGGCTGGGACCAGCCCGATTCACACCTGAGGAGCTGGGCCACCTGGCAGGAGCAGCCATGTGCTGACTCGACCAGGTGTCATCCTCTTTCCACAATTCACCAATTAGGATGCCCAGATAATCTACGCTTTTAAAATTTTTTAATAGGAAACGCATTCACTGGGTTCAGAAATCAAAAAGCACAGACCTTTCCAGGAAATGTGTCCCTCCTACTCTTGGCCCATCGACCTAGTCGGTCCCGGCTCTGAAGCCAGGAACCACGGTTATTGTCACTTGTGTCTCATCCCTGATGATGTTTATGTATATACACACAAATACACAAATGTATTCTGTACATCACTGACAGCAGACTATACACATTTCTCTGTGCCCAGTTTTTATCTTTTAAAGGACAAGACTTGGAATAGGGCAGGGAAACAGTCTCTCTACATAACAAAAGAGGTGGCTCTGTGTAAAATGCCTGTGAAACAAAGAGATGGAAATATTCCAGAGGACACATGTGTGAGGAGAGAAGGCTGGGATATATTTGGAGGACACGTGTGTGAGGAGGGAAGGCTGAGGGAATATTTGGAGGGCACGTGTGTGAGGAGAGAAGGCTCTGGGGTCATTGTGGGCACCACTGGTCTGTGGTTGACCCAGATCTAGACCAGCCAGAGGAGAGCTATGGTGGTCAGGGGCAGGTATGGGGATCAACCACCCTGACAGCAATGAAGCCCCACTGGCTAAAAGCTCTGACTAGCCTCGCTCAGCACTTCATCTTCCAGAAGAGAGAGAATACGTCTATAGGAATGGGAGTAACCTAATTCCCACAGCAATGGCCGAATGAGGAGTGACCAGGAGGACACAGGAAGGAACTGTGGAGGAAAAGCAATCATTTCCTCTGGAACTTGGGAGAGACCGAGAAGGGAAGTTGTGCCTGAGACTCTAAAGCAGCCTTTCAATTGCTGAGAGAATAGAAGGCCACTAGGACCTGAGATTTTGGAAGTAAATGATCCAGAGGCTCTGAAATGCAATTCGAGCTGTGCAACTGGGGATGAGGGAAGGATGGAGAGGAGTGTCGAGGAGGAGGGACAGAGGGAGAGGCAGAATGAAGGAGGGGTGCCTTTCAGGGAGCAGCCAGCTCACCATAAAGGTTCAGAGCTGGACTTGGGGGCAAACTGACTAATTCTAATTCTGCCTTTCCCGTCCTAGCTGTGAAGTCTTGAGTAAGTCAGTCAACCAGCCCCTCTGCACCTTAATTTCCTCATTGGTAAGTGGGGATAATGACAGCATCTACCGCGTGGAGCTGGCAGAAGAATGAACTAAATTAGTATTTACAGAGCCCTCACACCAGTGCTGTGCTCACCGCAGCTGCTATGTGAATGGCAGAGAAGAGAAGCCGTGTGAACCTTGACAAGGTCAGTTGTTAAAAAGCTCAGGTCACGTCACTGGGAGAAGGATGCGTAACCAAAGGAGACCCTGAGACATTCATGCAGGGCCTGTCCCAGAGCGTCAACTGGAGGAGGCCAGCCCAGGACAAGCTGAGGCTGCACAACATGCCCAGACGGTAGGAAGGGGTGGGGGTCGTCTTCAGCCAAGAGGCCCAGGGGCATAAAGGGACCCTGGAAACTTGAAGCTCGGCTCCCATTCTGGGCACATGATGGCCCCTGTCAAAGAGAGCTATCCTTAGACTGACAGAGAGGGGGAATCTTGGATTTTTAGAAAAGGATACTTTTCAATGAATTCAAGCCCCCTGGCCGGCCCAAAGAGTTGAAAAGTCGGGCAGAGGAGACCAGTGAGCTGCCCACTGCATCTGTGTGGGGCAGCCCAGGGACACCTGAAAGCAGTCCTGGGAACTGAGAACTCATGATGTCAAGGAATGTTCACATCTTTCTGTGATAGGATACTTGATGGTTGACGGAGAATCACAACAGACTTGACATGACTTAAGATGGTCAGAGGTCAGGAAAAAAGGCAGAGACTTAGACGGGGCTGCTTGGACTACTGTCCCA